CACAGTTCTCCCCCGGCCAGCCATGTTTGAAGTAAAGGTGTCGGATCCAGTCCGCGTCCTCCATGCAGCCAAATTCTTGATTCGTTCCGTCGTACTCTCCCTGCCTCTCCATCGCCTCAGCGTCGTAGGGGTCGTCATCTGGGTCATATTCGACATAGCGTTCCTCGCGGTCCCAGAAATGTCCCTTCTGCCACGGCTCCTCACGTTCATAATGCGCTTGGCGTCTGTAGATGGTATGGTCGCCCGGAACAAAGACCTCGTCGAACCGCTTCAGAGATTTGATGCGATCCGAAAAGAAGTCTTGGGCCAGAATAATGGGGGCGCAGGGGCCGCACTCCTCCTCGTCTTCGTAGACGAACCCTGTCCAGGTATCGATGTAGATGCAGTGGCCGGGGCCCTCCCAGCCATTGGCTAGTGTGAGTATGTGACGCCCTTCCGATGGTGGTGGATGATCGTCTCCCACGAAACCGGATTCTTCAAGCCACAGGTCTTCTTGACAGCCTTGGTAGGCGTCAGTCTCCGAATAGTCAACCATGGTGCTTCGGTGAGTGACGCATCCGTCATAGTAGTCAAAATGCGGCTCCGGGTCGTATATGTATGAGAGATGGCGCAGAATGTCGAGGGCGAAAGGCGTCTTGGACTCGAGTCCATTGCCGGGACCTGGCTGGATGTGCGGCCAGCCGCCCGGAGGAGGGTGTCGCACCCTGTCATTTGGGAGCTTGAAGCGGTCGAGAAACTCAAGGAAGTTTCGAACAGGCGCGACGATGCGCTCGCACTGGTCAACACGGACCGTCTCGGCGATGCGCTGGTATACGCCCTCAAGCTTGCGGCAGGTAAGGCGGAGCGCGACGACACTCTGTTGATTGAAGAGAGTGAGGAAAATTTTGATGTAGACTTCCGTGGGAAGTTCCATAAGGCTTATGGACCAGGCGATGGGGGTGTCGTCTTCGTCGTCGGACATGGTGGCGGCGATGGTGGTGGTGGACTAGCGAAGAATGCCTCAGCACAAGGGACACAGTGGCGCCTGGAGGCGACATCGTACTTGGATCCATCGCCCGAAGAGGCTCACTCTCCGCGGGCCCAGTATTTCTAGGCGCCCACGATGCCCCATGCATCGAAGGCCGACCAACAAGCCCAACTACTCTATACAAAAAGAACAGAGACTCCTCGTGTTCATATCTAGAAATAGGATCTGCCAGGGACACTGTATCGAATTTCTTGTCTTTCCTGTAGCGGATGGACTTCAGTCTTCAGTCTTGGCCGGTACTGAGAAAGTTTCTGGTCTTTTTAAGGGCTAGAAGTTCTCACGAGCACCCTGCCAAAAGGCATCGATCTGGCTCGTCCTACTAGGAGAATGTCTTGTCGCTAGAGACCACGGCTGACGCACTCATGCGTTTCAGTCCAAGCTTAGATGAAGAGGCATACTACACACACAGGCAGATAAGGAAGGGTAAAGTATAGATGGTAAGATGGATATCTATGACATAAATCGCAAAGCGCAATCTCTCTTATTAATGCAGGTGTTTATGTTTACGGCCTGTCAGCTTTCGGGAAGTGGAGGACGGTCAGAGGGTTAGGGTTGCCGTTAGCAGATGCTAGGTTGCGACTCTGAGGTGATATGATATCGTGAGGCGCTGCGCACTCGGTAGAATGAGTATAAAGTAAAACTTCGATTGATCACTGTCGTAAGAAATAGTGTAGCTGCAAGTACAGACTGCTCATCCTGGTATACCGTTTCATCCTGCCTTTGACGTCTTAGATTGTGAACTCATGTTGGGTAGCTCACTGCTGGTCGGTGATGTTGCTATGTTAGATCTTGGATTGCGACGATCCTGACAGTAACCGTCCTTCCTTCGTTGTTGTTACACCATGAGGTCGTCTGCACTCACGACATGACGTTGCTATTCGGACACTATATGCCAACCTGGCGGGCCAAGTGGCAGGATCTTTGAGGAGATAAAGCTGTCGAGCTCACCACAGCAGCTCCTGTCAGAGGGACAGTGCTCGAGGTGGTAGTGAAGACGAAATAGTGCAGTGGAGAGGCCGTGTGGAAGCATGGAGGCAGATGGTACTTGCCCTTCACGGGTATCTTGTGTGTACCTTACCTTGTATCACTTGGGGTAAGGTAGGTACCTACGAAATAGACGGACGATGAGCCTGGAAGAGGGAACCCCCCCGTGGCTACAGTCCCTCTTCTCATCATCGTTTGTCTCTCAAGGACACCACGGGGATCCAACCGGCCAGCACCACGATGACGCACGCCAACCCCGCGACGGCTCAGATGTAGTGGAGAGCGCAGTGGACCTCAGTGGACTTTGTGGGAA